GAGCGCACCATGACCGCGCCGGGCGACCCCGAGAGCGCTGCCGGTTCGACGGACCACGCAGGGCTGCACGAGCGCCGCACCAGCCAACGCAGACCCTTGTCCCGCGAGGCACGCGCGCAACAGTCTCAAGATCCCGTGGCAGGAACAACTGGGTCACAGGTGAGTCCTGACGCAGATAGGCCGCCTCCTGATCGAGGCCCCATCGGCGACCCTGCACCAGCACCTACGCGTGGCGACCTCCTCGACGACGGCGAGCCATCGCCGCCGCGTGACCCCGCGGCGCCCCGAGCCGCCAGAGTTACTCGGCCACGACCTCGATCGTGGACGCTGCAACGGGTCACGCCCCATGGGCGTGGACAAGCGTCGAGGCCATTCAGAGTTTGCGCGTGCTACGAGCCGGCGATGCATCGCAGATGCGACGCGATATTCGCAAACTACACATACGTTGGTGGCAGGCTGCACGGACTCAGGTGGAAAAGATATTCATCGCAGCCCGGTGCCCGCTCAGCGTCATACAGGTGCCGCGAGTGCCGGGCCTGGGCGAGCAGTGCGTCATAGATCACACCTTCAATCGAGGTGGTCACGGCTCCCGAGCAGGACGAAGAGGGGGACATCCTCTTCCACCGTCAGTATCCGATCTGGCACATGATCGACCGAGCCTGCCAGCGGCATGAAGCACGGCCGCTGTAGGGTGATTCCAGCGACGTTGGGCATCGATCCCCTGAGCGCCTATGCTCTGCCATCCGATCGTTCTAGCTTTCGATCGTCGGCCCATCCAGGGCCTTAGTTTCAGGAGGGAAAAAATTACACAGACACAATTAATCGTCGATTCCAAGGAAAATATGCGAAAATATGGGAAGTGGGGGGGAAGACAGAAACCCAGAAAATAAAGGAAAATATAGGGAACCCTGTTGTTTGTGTGTATTTATTTGCGTGTCCCAGTTCCCCTGCATAGTTGTTGATGGCGAGCGTGGCATACTTGGGGCCGAAGCGAGGCCATTCTTCGACCGGCGTGGCAGTGCGGTCCGAGTCCGAGCCCCAGACCAGCGCGCCCGAGTGATCGAACCGCGCGGTGCCATCTTACGGCGCGCCATGCTGGTAAGACGTCGGCATGATCGGCCTTCTTCCCGAGTGCCCAGCACAGCACCGTGACCATCAATGACCGAGGCGCCGAACAACCGCGTCGCCTCGGAGATGCACGACGATTGATGAATCTCGGGGGGCTGACACATGGCGTTTCAAGTCAACCTGCGACGCCGCGCAGTCAGGCAGGGATGGTGGTGGAGAAGAATATGGTGAGCCTATCTACGAAGACACTCCAACGCTTCGGCCTTGCCGACGCTGGCACGGTCACCGCGTCGCCACAACCCGACGCCAAGCAGCACTCGGCCTCGAATACCTAGCGGGGGAAATCGTCGATCTCAGCAGTGTTGCGGCCATCCAAGTAGGCCGCGGCCTGGACCGCACCGTGACCGAAGAGACTCGCGATGCATCACTCCTGTTCGGGTGGGGGCCGGGCCTCCGCGAAGCAGAGACCCGGTGAAGATTCGAGGCTGGCACATTGAGCCTGGTCGAGCTCCCTTGCCCCGACCACGGCAAGATGTGTCATCCCTTGTTTAACTTTGAGTAGTTGGACGCTGCTTCGGAGATCTTGTGGAAGATGATCTCCATGTGGCAGAGATCAGTGGAAGCAGCGCCGATTATTTGGAAGCTGGCACGCGTGCAAACGTCCCCACCAACGACGATGGGAGGTTGTCCACCATCGATGAGGGATCCCACAATGACTCTGTGAGCGACATACTCTTGATCGACACCACGTGGTGGGCGCCTCTATTACACGATCAACAGACGGTCATGCAGGATGCGTTGCCAGCTGTATCGGCTTCGTTTGAAGAACTATTAGAGACGGAACCCCAACCAGCTCCCTCACACCGTCGTTGTCGAACACCAGTGCACAAGCGCGGCGGGGTGGTCATAGTGTCTGGTTGGCCTGCACGTAGCAGGCAATATGCCAGAAACCCCGCCGTCTTAACGATAAGCCAATGCAAAGTGACCGTGGGGTGGCCGCGCATGATCCAGATGTAGCCGCCGCGAAGTGCACGTTGTAGTGTTATTTGAAACGGATGGTGGCCCTGGGCACAGCAGGCAATATGATACCCGCCCCGCCGCCCCTGCCCAAAAACGATAGAATGTCCCCGCGGGGCCCACCAGCATGACCCAATAGGTTGCCCAGATGTGTATGTTGTATGGTTTTTTTTGACAGGGATGGTCGAGGGGGGGGATGTCATTGGTCCTGTTCTGCTGCCCGTCGCCTAGGGGGCGGGGTGTTCACGCATAGGGAACAGTGATGAACCCCTCCCCGAAGCGGCAGAGGGACGACGGAAGAGGACACCCGCTAAACCCGTCAAGCCCAGAGGGCTGGCATGATTTAGTGAGCGAGCTGTTTTGCCACGTGTGCGCGCGTATCTATGGCTCGGCAGAGCTTGAGGGAAGTACTGTACTTCAGAGCGTGAATTACCTGCCCCGCTTTCGCTTCCAGGCAAAACCAGGTCATGCCACGCGCCTCTTCGTCAAGCGGCATGACCAGTACAGGCCGTAGTTTGGCATCGCTTGGTATCTCTTGGAAGCGAGGGTGGTCAAAAGCGGGGTAGGTTGGTTCGCCCCCTAGTACTGGCATTTCCTGGTATCGCGCGAAGCTGTGCAATCGTGGGATTTCCCAGGAAAGAGCGGCAGAATCCGGGTCGGTTCCACAAGGGTTTGCCGCCGAAGTGCGGAATGCAAGTCTCGGGTCACCGATCGTACGATTTGGGGTTGGGTCCGCGCCCGCAATCCCAGCAGGGGTAAGTCGCGAATGTCACCGCCGTCATCCTCTTTCTCGTTCGCTTCCTCCCTCCCACCTTCACACCCATCCGCTTCCATCCTGCCTTCTCCCTCCTCCGCATTCTGTCTGCTCCTTCCCTTACTGATGATTTCCTTTCCTGTTTTGTCCCGCCTCCTGCCTTCGCCCCCGTCCGTCTTCTCCCCCTTGTCATGGGCCGATTCGCTTACCCTGCATTGCTCCTCTCCTCAATTCCTCCTCTCCCCCCTTGTTCATCCGTCTCCTCTCACAATTTGCATGCACGCGTTTTGCTTGACGGGGGCCAGCAATGTGTTCGACGCGGGTACCCCGCAGTTGCACAAGTATTCTGGCGTTTTTTTCTTGTTTGGGATTTTGAAAAAGTAAAATCGAAGGGGTCGAGTCTTGATACAATTGGCAGCGTCAAAGTTTTAATGTGCAAAACTGAGTATGAGCATCATGTGGTTGGATGTGGGTCGTTCTGAGCTCTGAGTACGAGTGAGTCGCAGCACTAGCGGATCTGAGTGAGCCTTGTAGGAAGTAGCCGAGATGGGGATGGGTCTGGGACAAAGTGGGGAAGGGTGAGAATAGGTATGAGTGTCAGTGCGTATGCGTATGAACCACTGAGTGTCAGTTGGTATGAGTGCGAATGAGTACCAGGCTACGTCGCTAAGTATGAGTGTGTCTGAATGCGAGTCGGCTTCAATGTGGCTGGATGGGAGCATGGGTACGGTCGGGCATGAGTGGGAGGATCCCGGGGTGTCCTTGGTCACCGGCCGAGTCCGCGACTCAGCCCCTGCCCTCGGGAATTAAGGTCTACCTTGTCCCTTTAATGTTCAGGCTGCCTCTTCATTCGAAAGCGGAGCGCCTTGAGTTCGCATCTGGGCGACGAAGGAAAACGGATTCGTCTTCACCAGCATTTTTGCGCGTAAGTTGTTCGCGTAAGGTGGCGCGTGAACACCACCGTTTCCAATGTGGTTTGCCGCGCTGGCGACCCGCGTAAGCCACCACGTAAGGTCGCTATGCCATGTCGCGTAAGACACGTTTCTTTCCGTCGCTCATCTGCCCGCGTTTGGATGTTTTTGCACGAGTCTCTTGGACCTCGTTCTCGCGACAGGACGCTTGGCGGCAAAGGCAGTCTCTTGCGTGGGCTCAGTGGGTAAAGAAGTGTTTGTGGCTTGTATTGAAAACGACCAGATGTCAAATGTGGATGCGAAGGTGAAGTGCGCGCGATTGCTGTGCGCTGTTCTTGTCAACGTGTGAAATCAGTTTTAAAGAGTGCGTGCGATTGCTGCGAAGCGGCTGGTGCAGAAAAGTCACACTATGTCACGGTCGTTGTTTAAGTACACGCGCCGAAATTGGTGAGCGAATGGCATCCAACTCTTCACCCGAGCAGCCAACAGTGAGTGCGCGGTCCGTGTGGCGCCATTACAGACGTGCTCCACTTGGTGATGTGGACCGAGGCGTACTTTTCAAGGTGATTTCCAAATTGCTGTACAAGGGGGTGGGGCATCCGATGTCATTGGTTATGGGGATTCGTGGAGCTCCCAGGTGCAACAAACCTGGGCGACCCCCACCTGGGCATCCCACGCGCCATGTCTGCTACATCGCGATGGTCTTAGGGCTCTTACAAGAGATACGGACACTTCTCCAAATGGCCGATCCACCAGAGTGGTCTTTGCGATCTTGGCGCCAACGGCCCCTTGACATCCTCCAGCGGCTCCCCGTTAGGAAGCCCAATCGCCATGTGGCTATGAAAACAGAGACAGTCACGTGAGTAGAAATTCGATGGGTTCCGACAACTCTAGGCGCGCACGGACGGGTACACGACATCCTGGCGGCCCCCACTTGGCATACCGAAGTGCCTTGCGGTTGGACCCCCCTCTAGCCGCTCGAGTGCTCTCACCTCGGTGCCAGCCACAGTTTCTACGAGAAATCGCACTCACTCCCCCGCGTGTCGGGGTTGCGCCAGATCCGGCCCCAAAACTCCTGCTACTGCTCCGCCGCCTCCACCTCCTCCTATTCCTCCTTCTCCTCCTCCCTGATTCCTCCTTCCTCCCTCCTCCTTCTACTCGGCGCCCTCCTCCTCCTCCTCATCCTTCTTCGCACTCCCTCTAGCTCCTCTGCCTCCCTCCCTCCTCCTCCTCCTCCATTGCCGTTCCGGCTCCAGTAATTTTTTGATCGAGCCGATTACGCTTCAGACGCGGCGGTCCAGAGCGCACGCAGCCTCGGGCTCCGTTTCGCCGCATGGTGGGTGCATCCGGTGCCCGGGCCTTTGCGTGCGCAGCCATCATCGGCTGTGCCTCCGCCGCGGGCAGCGCGGCACGACCGGACGCGCCGCACGGTGCGTGGCCCCAGCAGCAGCCCGCGGCGCGGCGGGTGTCCGGCTCGTTCGACAGCGTGACGCTGAGCTCCTACGTGCTGCTGGAGCCGCCGCCGGGCGCAGCGGCCGTTGCCGACACGGGCCGTGCCGCTGGGCGCGGCCTGTTGGGCGCACCGCTGCTGCGGAGCAGGGCGCTGCGGGGCGCGGCGGTGCTGGGTGCCTCGGTGGTGGTCGTGCGCCCGCTGGTGCTGCCCAGGGCGGAACCGCAGCACGGAGCCCCGCCCGCCGAGCGCGAGCGGCCACCCAGCGCTGAGGTCCCCGCCAGCGCCGCTGCGCGCAGCGGCCCCGCGCCAGCGCCTCTAGGGAGCCGCGATGCTGCGGCCGCAGAGGGCGCGAGGCCGCGCAGCGCGCCGAGCACGGCGCAAATCGTGGCCGGTGCAGCCGCCGCGGCCGGCGTCGCCGTGAGCCTTGCCGCGACGGCCGCGCGCCGCCGGCGCCGCCGCGGCGCACCGGTGCCCAGAGGCCGCCGCCAGGCGGGTGCTCGGGCGCCCAGCAAGGCCAGGCCCTTCCCTCCTCCTCCTCCTCCTGCTCCTCCTGCTCCTCCTGCTCCTCCTCGTCCTCCTCCTCCTCCTCCTCCTCCTCCTCCTCCTCCACCTCCTCCTCCTCCCCCCTCCACCACCCCCACACCTTCTACTGCTTCTCCTCCTCCTGGTCCTGCTTCTCCTCCTCCTTCTCCTCCTTCTCCTCCTTCTCCTCCTCCTCCTGGTCCTCCTCCTCCTCCCCCTCCTTCCGCCCCTCATCCTCTTATCATTGTTATAATTATTATTGTTATTCGTATTATTATTATTACTGATATTATTATTATTATTCTTATTCTTAGTATTATTATTATTGTTTTTTATTATTAGCATTCTTATTATTATTAGTTGTATTATTATTATTATTAGTATTATTAGTATTATTAGTATTTTTATTAGTATTATTGCTAGTATTATTATTAGTATTATTATTAGTATTAGTATTATTACTGTTATTATTAGTATTATTATCCTTCTTCTTCTTCTACTATGTATTATCATTAGTAGTATGACAGTTCTTATTATTCTGATCGGTGTTATAGTATGATCATACTATGGTTCTTATTGTGTTGTGTTGTCTTCTTATTAATATCGTTATGTTTATTATGAGTATTGATATTTTTATCTTATGAGTACGTTCATTACTACTATTATCATTGTTGGTTATTATTATTACCTCATCCTCCTCCTGTCAGGCCTTCGGTTCGGGCGATAGTTCGGGGCCGCCTACCCCGCCGACAAGACCGAGTTCGACAGCCGACCTGGACGAGACGCCGCAGAACTCGACGCCGAACTCGACCTCGTCGCCCGATCTGGACGAGACGCTGCAGAACTCGCGTCCGCGCTCGTCGAGTGCGGCTCGCGCTGCCGGTGCCGCTCCCGAGCTCGACACCGATTTCGACACCCAGCTGGAGGGGGCACTGCAGCACGGCTGGAAGAGGACGACCAGCTGGAGGGTGGAGCAGGGTCGCTGGCAGCCGCACATGTTCCGCATGAGCACCTGCGAGGCCGAGGCTGGGGCCGTCGGGGAGCAGTCGCCGAGCGGGGACGGTGCCGCCGAGAGGCAGCACTCGCTGTACGAGGAGCCCATCGGCGAGGTCCCGCCACCCACGCCGCGCATGTTCCGCATCAGCACCTGCGAGGCCGAGACCAGGGCTTCCGTGGAGCGGGCGCTCGACGGGGACGGTGCCGCCGAGAGGCAGCACTCGCTGTTCGGGTAGCCCATCAGCGAGGTCCCGCCACCCACGCCGCGCACTTTCCGCGTCTCGAGGAAAAGAAAGCGGCGCCTGATCATGAATTGTCGGAGCTTGGCGCGCGCAGATCCAAGGATCCGCGCGGACCTCCGAACGTTCAACGTTTATGCTGTTTTTTTCCTCCAGCATCAGTACCCGTGAGGCCGAGGCCAGGGCTTCCGCGCTTCCGTGGAGCGGCCGCTCGACGGGGACGGGGGCGCCGAGAGACCGCACTCGCCGCTCGGGCAGCAGGACGCCGCAGCCGCTCCCCTGGCCTTTCGCTGGCGACCGCCTCGGCACCGCCCTGGACGTTGCATCTTCGGGGAGGTCTCGCCTGTCCCCCCAAATTGCCGGACTGTGGTGTGCCCGGCGCGGGCTCGATGCGGACGCGACGCGGATTTGGCGCGGCTTCGCCGCGGACTCGACGTGGATTCGACGCGGAGGTACGTGGATTCGACGCGGACTTGACGAGTCCGACATGGATTCGACGCGGATTCGACGCGGATAGGGGCACAGCGGAACAGACCAGGCCCCCCGGCGATGCAACACAACGCCCTTTTGAGGTTGGGAGGGGCGCAGGAGGCCTGGGGGAGGAGGGAGGAGGTTGGGAGGGGGCTGGGAGGGGCCTCGACACCCACGATACACTTCTCGTGCGCAGCAGAGCCAATCGCATTGCAGCTCCGCTTGTCGCCTGCCCTCATTCCCCCTCCTCCCTCCTCATCTACATCCTCCCCCTCCTCCTCCTCCTCCTCCTCCTCCTCCTCCTCCTCCTCCTGCTCCTCATCCTCATCCTCCTCCTCCTCCTCCTTTTCCTCCCCCGGCGGCGGCCCATTCAGCAACGGCTGCTGCCTGTCTTCGCTTATTTTCTCTCATTTTCCTGGGCGGACTGATGCCCGGCACACGGTAGGCAGATGTACAGCGTAGGCAGTTTCCGCCCCCTCTTCTCGAAGCATCGCCGCCGTGTCGTGTGCTCAGCGCGGGGGCGTGTACAGAACGAAATCGTTTTTGTTCGTGTCCGACGGGGGCGTGCACCAAAGTGCCCGAGCCCGCCCCACGACGTCTGGCTTTCCCCCGCGAGGTGCTCATTTTCAAGCGTGTGGCCTACGTGTGGTCCCGATTTTGGAGTTCGGCGAGGGCCTGGCGCGAGGAACGGGTACTCCTCCTCCTGCCCCTGCTCCTCCAAGCTCCGCCTCCCTGGGATCCAGCGGTCGAGTCGACGTCGGGCCAGACATGAAATGACGTTCGGTTTTCAGCTTGGCGTTTACCGAAGCCGAACATCGCTTTGAGGCCCACGCCTGCACCGCTCGTCGTCCACGGCTGCATCGGAGAAACTTGAGAGAGCAAGTTTGACCCCCCCCCGCTCCATCTTGCGGCCATCTTGGACGAGATCGATCAACGAACGGGGGGTGGTAAGTAAGCCCCCCTCTCAGGAAGCCAGAATTGGACCCAAACCAAAGTAAGATCAGTGTTGCTACTTTCTTGTCGAGGCCACCTTGGACGCTCCAACGACCCGCGGCCCTCCCGCCCAGATCCATGGGGAGGGGGTGGCGGGACGGATCAAGACACCGTCCCCACCCGCAAGTTCTCTCGCTCACCCCCACCCGCCCTCCCAACACATAAGTGGCACCCGAGCCTTAGCATGTTCAGCGGTCGTCTATGGTTGGGCAGCTATTCATAATCTAAAACAAGCCCCATGAGCGCGATGCTGGGGCGAGGTGCGCCACGCGTGCCAGGCTCGCCACGCGCGCCAGGTGCGCCATGCACTTCTGGGGCCCAAGCGGTTCCAGGCACGCCTGGCGCGACAGATGCGCCACGTGCTCCACGTCGGCCATGTGTGTCGCATGCTCCAGCCGCACCAGGAGCGCCAGTCTGGGGGCACGCGCAGAGTGCGCCAGGGGCGCCCGCGCACGGGACAACACACATCGGGAAACATGTTCCCTTTTGCCGCCCGTGCCGAAAACCAGTGCACAATCGCGGCGGGGTGGCCATCATTGTTTCTGGTGGGTTTTGCACACAGCAGACAATATGCCATAACCCCCGCCACCGTTACCAAAAAACAATGCAAAGTGACCGCGGGGTGGCCGCTCATGACCCACATTTAGCAGCCACGCGCACCTTGTTTTGCATGGCTTCCCAGCCATCCTGTGGTGTTGGGTCATCGTTCTGAATAGAAAGCGCCCCGCGTCATTCACTGTCCTTCCTCCTCCCCACCTCCTCCCCCTCTCCCTCCTCGTCCTCCTCCTTGCCTCTGCCCTCATCAGCGTACGGTTCCCCACCCAGTACAACGCATCGTGGTTCCATAGGGCGCTCCACTGAAGGCCCCAGTTCTATTGCCCGCGTGCGTCACCCCCATCTGGTACAGCGTTTCGTGGCCTCAGAGGACGCCCCACCTCAGGAAGGCACCATTGGTACCGCCCTCATGCGCCACCTCCACTCAGTACAGCGTTTCGTGGCCCCATAAGGAGCTCCACCGAAGGCCCCAATGGCACCGCCCGCATGCGCCACCCCCACCCAGTACAGAATTGCGTGGCCCCCTGGGGAGCTCTACCGAAGGCCCCAGTGGCACCGCCCGCATGCGTCACCCCCACCCAGTACAGCGCTTCGTGGCCCCGTAGGGATCTCCACCCAAGGCCCCAGCGGCTCCGACCGCATGCGTCACCCCCACCCAGTACAGCGCTTCGTGGTCCCATGGAGCCCCACTGAAGGCCCAGCGGCACCGCCCGCATGCGTCACCCCCACTCAGTACAGCATTTCGCGGCCCCATAAGGACGCTCCACGGAAGGCCCCAGTGGCATCGCCCGCAAGCGTCACCCCCACCTAGTACAGCGCATCGTGGCCCTATATGGGAGTTCCACCGAAGGCCCCAGTGGCACCGCCCGCAAACGCCATCCCCACCCAGTACAGCGCTTCGTGGTCCCATAGGAAGCTCCACTGAAGGTCCCAGCGGCACCGCCCGCACGCGTCACACCCACCAAGTACAACGTTTCGTGGCCCCTTGGGGAGCTCCACCGAAGGCGCCAGTGGCGGTGTTCGCATGCGTCTCCCCCACCCTGTGCAGCGCTTCGTGGCCCCATGAAGCCGAAGGCCTCAGTGGCGGTGCTCGCATGGGTCACCCCTGCCCAGTACAGCGTTTCGCTGCACCTTGGGGGGCTCCCCCGACGGCCTCAGTGGCGGTGTTCGCATGCGCTTCCCCCATGCAGCACAGCGCTTCGAGGCCCCATAGGTAGCTCCACCGGAGGCCTCACGGGTGGCTTTCGCATGCGTCTCCCCCACTCAATACAGCGTTTCGTGGCCCTATAGGGAGCTCCACCGAAGGCCCCACTGGCGGTGGTCGCATGCGTCTCCCCCACTCAATGCAGCGCTTCGTGGCCCCATGGGGAGCCCCACTGAAGGCCCCAGTGGCGGCCCCGCCCAATTGCGGCGCACCCTTCACACGATTCGCGGCACCACAGTGGGTCCCACCCAACGCCCCAGTGGCAGCGCCCACATGGCGGCCCCGCCCCATGTCGGCACACCCTTCGCATGCCTCATGGCCCCCCATGAGGAAATCCTTCCAAGGCGATGCCCGCAACGACAGTATTCACAATTGCATATGTATGGTGGGGTCCTTAACCATGGTAATTGACACTGTAATTCATGGCGGCCCTGCGCGCAGCAGGCAATATGACAACACCCCCGCCGTCACTATCAGAAACAATACAAAGTGCTGCCCACGCGCATGACCCAAGAAGTTGCGTTGTTTGACGGGTGGTGGGGGGTGTCATTGGTCCTGGTTCGCTGCCGGTCGCCTGGGGGAGGGGATGTTTCTGAATAGGGAATTGTGATAACCCTTCCCCGAAGGGGAAGGAGAAGACGGAATAGGAAACTTGCTGAAGCACTCACGCCCAGACGGTTGGTGGGATTTGGAGGACTTGCCGCTTTGCAACGCGTGCACGCGTATTGCGCGCATGCCCGCACGAGGCTTTGCAATCATGGGATTTCCCAACAGGGCGGCAGATTCCGGGGCGGTTCAACGACGGTTTGCCAGCGAAGTGTGGAATGCAGTTCCCGGGTCTTTGGTTGTACGATCTGAGGTTGGGCTATCACCCGCTTGCAGCAAGCGGAAGTCGCGAATGTCATCTGCGTCATCATCCTTCTCGTTCGCCTCCCCCCTCCGACCTTCACCACCATCCTCTGCCCTCCTGCCTTCTCCCTCCTCAGCATTACGTTCCCTCCTTCCTTAATGTATAGGCTCTTCTCATCTCGTCTCGCGTCTCCTGCCTTCTCCCCTTTTTCCGTCTTCTCCCCTCTGTCATGGCTCTGGCCGCCTCTCCTACATTCATCTCCTCCTCTCTCCTCCCCCTCATTTTTCCTCCTTCGTCTCTCCTCACCTGCATGCAAGCGTGTTCGGCAGCTGGAGCCAACACCGTACTCGACGCGGGTACCCCGTAGCTGCATCTGTATTCCAGCGTTCTCTTGCTAGAGCTTCTGGATAGAGTTGGGCGGCCCTGGGCGAGTCGGAGTAAAATGGCCAGCGTAAATGAATTGATGGGCGGGATGGAGTTGTTGTATATGGGTCGTTCATCGTACTAATGCGTCGCAGCATTAGCGGGTATGAGTAAGCTTGGTTATGAGTCGCCCAGATGGGGATGGGTCTGAGTCAAGGGGGAATGAGTAAGAATTGGTCTGAGTATGAGTTTGTATGCATATGACCACCTGGGTTTGAGTGGGTGTGAGTGCGACTGAGTATCAGACTACGCCGCTGAGTATGAGTGAGTCTGAGCGGGAGTCGTCTTCAATGCGGCTGCATGGGAGAATGACTTAGGCCAGGCACGAGTGGGGGGATGCTGGGGTGTCGTTGGTCACCGGCCGAGTCCGAGACCCAGCAACCGCCCTCTGGAATTTGAATGATTTGGTCCCATTGATGTTCAGGCTGCCTCTTTATTCGGAAGCGGTGCACCCTGTGTTCTCATCTGGGCGACGAAGAAAAACGGGTTCGTCTTCACCGGCATCGGCGTGTAAGCTGCCCGCGTAAGGTCGCGGGCAAGCACCCTCGTTTCCAATGTGGCGTGTAGCGCTGGCGGCCCGCGTAAGCCGCCGCGTCTGGTCACCATGCCATCTCGCTCAAGAACCGTGTCTTTCCGTCGCTCATTTGCCCGCGAAAGGATACTACGAAGGTCTTACGGCTGGTGCAGCAGACCCTGAAGAGGGACGACGACAACGGCGGCGGCGGACACGACGATGACGCTGACGCGGGCCAGAGGGATGCTTCTTGGGGTCTCTTCGGATGGCTCTCGGGGGCCTCTGGGGAGGAATTCTTGGGCCTTTTGGGAGCCTCTCGGGAGCCTCTCGGGAGCCTCTTGGGAGCTTCTGCGTGCTTCCTGGGGACCTTTTGTGTGCCTTCTACAACCCTCGTCAAAAATAAACTGAGGGATTATGTTTTCGGTGATTGCATGGTCAGCGCTACTACGCAATTTTTAACAAGTGCCCGAGAAGATCGATCGTCGTGATTTCCAACTGCGTTTCTGTTTGGGGCTTGTAGGGCTTCTTGGGCTTCTTGGGGACCTCTTGGT